ACAGATAACCTTTGGCTCTTTTCAATAGGAAAAATCGCGAGTTCAATTTTTTCATTAAACAGTTAACTTGATCATTCCAACTAAGATATTTGTTTAATTTTACACCCAAGAGTTTTTCGTCTTTAACTTCTTCAATAGGTACTCCATTTTGGTTAAGTTCCAAAGAAGATATATTTGCGTGTCGCAACTTCTGGTGAGTGCCAATGAGCAAATGTTTAGTTTTCGTAATATTAGGTTTCATATGATTTTGCTTAAACCAGACATTTGCACAGTCAAGACTACTCTGAAGATCATTTTGAATTTTAATACAGTCACCATTAGATTTCCAGAGTGTTGTATCATCGGCATAGACATCAACATTTGCTTCAGGTATATTTAAGGGTAGATCATTCATATATAGGGAGAACAAAACGGGGCCAAGTATTGATCCCTGAGGGATACCACAAAATGGAGTAAGTGGCGCAGATAATGACCCAACAACGGAACAGATTTGAGAGCGTTCCGATAGATATGATTCAAACCATTTCATAGAGACAGCACTAGCATGGTAGGCTGATATTTTGGACAACAGGATATCATGATCTACGAGATCAAACGCTTTGCTAAGATCAAGCAAAATCACTCCAACCAGGTTACTCTTATCCATGGTATTAAGCCAATTGTCCGTCAAATTGAGTAAAGCAGTCTCGCATGAATGATATGGTCGGTATGCAGACTGGTGGCGATAAAGGAGACCATGAGAATTAAGGTATTCAAGATAGGAAGTAGCAACATGGCGTTCTAAAGGTTTGGATATAATAGGAAGAACAGAGATCGGTCTATAATTGTTTCTTTCATGTACACTTTCTTTCTTGTAAATTGGACATAATTTCGCCTGCTTAAACTTTACTGGAAAGCTTCCAGTTGTGATACTCGCATTATAAATATGCGTTAAACTTGGCACAATTGCTGGTAATGCCATCTTTAAGACCTTAATGCCAATTGCATCAATACCAGCAGCTTATCCCACTTAGGCCTATTCTTTCTTGTATAAACAATTATTCATATGAAATCGCTAAATTTTTTATTCCTCTCCTCAATCCCATTTCTTCAGGTGCTTATATGGTTAAGGATTCTTTCTCGTTTGTCCAGGAATTGCTCAGCCGCAATCATGATCCCAACAACGTTGCCATAAGGCAAGCTTTGATGTGACTTACTTATTTACCAACATTCCTCTAGAAGAAACCATTGACATAATTTCAAACCACTTATTCTCTAATGCTGTTCGCTTTCAGGGGCGGATCCAGACTGTAGCAACTGTAGCAAATGCTACAGTCAGATTTTCGTGCAAAAATATTTTTAATACTGAATGTGGTGATAGTAAAAATTCCTTATAGAAGTTTTCCAGTTTCTCTATCTCAAAAAAATTAACTTCCGCATCTTCGACCAGATGTCTGTACGTTTTTTGTGCTACGAATATTAAGTTACGTTTTTACGCGCTTATCTTAACCTGAATTTTACCCGAAACAACGCCCGCTTTTAGGGGAAATCACCTAAATTTTTTAAACATCGTTCAAAAAGCGTTCAGAAAAGTGGTCTAAATATAGCGATTTATGACGTCAAAATGCTACAGTCAACTGGGGGTCTTACGTCAAAATGCTACAGTCAGCGGGGGGACGAGTTACTAAATTTAGCATTTTTGCTACAGTCAGATGAAGCAAACCAATCACAGTGCTGCAATGCGCTACAGTCAGCTACAGTCAGCTACAGTTGCGCAATTCGATAGGAACTTTAGAGCGATGTTATTTGGCTATATTTGTTTGCGCTTTTACCGAACCAATTTCTTTCGAAGAAAAACTCAGTAGACTAAAGCGCTATGTGAGGATGCCATCGGGAGCAAAGTTAAGGCCGGTCGCCTGAAAGATCGCGAGGTATTTGTGTGTGATTTTTCGAAATTACAATTCGAAACGGTGAAAGAGCGCGATCGTTGAACCACGTTCGGGTCAGGTAAGCAGACTAAGCTTATGAATATTAGAATATATTAATAAACAGAATATAAATGTAAACGCTCCGTGCCAGTGTTTGGAATTGCGCGCCGGAGATTTCGTAAATTTAATAGTAAATATATAGAAAGCATCAAAATTGCGCGTCCGATATTTCCGCCGCGCGATACAAACTTTCCACACTGGTAAATGATAACAACACAAAGCTTCGGATTGAGAGATAGGGTACGTTTTATACTGATTAGTGAAATATACAAGCAAAACCTCGAAATTTGGCTTGTATATTTAAGTGGTTGAATCTCTGTTAATCCGAAGGTTTCTTTCAGTATATAAATGTGTCTGTTTGCGTTATATATCGTTCTGCCCATTGATTTTATGCATTGATTGTAATTGTGTTTATACTTTATATATGTTACACATGTGCGGTATGATATTAAATTACATATTGATATGGGGAGGAAGGCTGGTCTTAAACTTTGCATACAGTAATTAAGAATGTAGATCTGGTATGATTTGGTATGTCGTTTAACCATTTTACTGTCTTTACGTGTTTTTGTAACCTTTTGTCTAAAATATGGCCTTATTAAGGTCAAATTTTAGAACAGAATTCGATGCTCAGAATGCAGGAAATGGTGTTTCCGGGCTTCAAATTTCAAAAATTCTCCAGGGGGGCATGTCCCCGGACCCCCCTAGATTACGTGGTGCCTCCTCAGTTTGGGATTATGCTACAGTCAGATTTTTAGCTGGATCCGCCCCTGGCTTTCATGGTCTGACTCAATTAGAATTTAAAAACTTCTTTTGTTTAATGGAGTTTTGTTTCAACAGATTGACGGTGTTGCTATGGAGTCACCCTTAGGTCCTTTATTCGCCAATATATTCTTGTCTTTTTACGAGTCTAACTGGTTAAGTAACTGTCCTGTCAACTTTAAGCCATTTGTGTACCGCCGCTATGTTGATGACTGCTTCTTGATTTTCCAGTCTGCTGATCATATACCTCAATTTCTCTCTTATCTAAATCGTCAACACCCTAATATTAAATTAACCAGTGAAGTTGAATCTAATTCCACACTTCCCTTTCTTGATATCAGCATTTCTCGTAAGAATGGTGTTTTCGAAACTTCTGTTTATCGAAAGCTACCTACACAGGTCTGTTTACCAACTTCCGTAGCTTTATTCCTTTTCAATATAAACGTAGCTTAGTTTCTTCTCTTATACATCGTTTCTTTAGTCTTTGCTCCAATTATGAGAACTTTCACGCTCAGTTAGAACTATACCGCCAGATTCTTAATAAGAATTGTTATCCAACTCGTCTTTTTGATCGCTGCGTACGGACATTTCTAGAAAATGTGTTTCAACCCAAACCGGCTGTTCATTCTGCTCCTAAGAAAGTCCTATATTTTTTCCTTTCTGTATACTGGCGCTCACTCTCTTCAAATTCGCACCCAAATCTCCCGTCTTTGTTCCTCAGCCTTTCCTCATCTTAATATTAGATTCGTTTTTCGTCCAACTTTACGTTTGTCTCAACTCTTTAACTTTAAGGACAAAATTCCTAAGGCTTTAAAATCTTGTGTTGTGTAATCTTTCACGTGTTGTTGCTGTTCCGCAACGTATTTGGGCCAAACGGTCCGTCACTTGTACACACGAGTATCTGAACACTTGGGTGTTTCTCCTCTAACAGGCAGTAAAAGCAGCAATCCGACCATGTCTAGTATCCTTTCCCATCTTGATAGCACTTGTTACTCCGCCTCTCTTAATGACTTTAAGATTATTTCTTGTTGCTCTTCTCCAGACCTACTCCTCGTTCGAGAAAGTCCTCTCATTAACAAATTCAAACACTCTCTCAACTTACAAGGCAGTTCGGTCCCTCTACTTCTACTGTGATCCATTCCTCTTTCTACTTTTGTAATATAATATCTTGTAAATAGTTGTAATTTATTCATATTTCTGTGTTTCCCGCTTTGTATGTCATTGCTCTGAAGATGCCTTAGGTTAAAGACGAAACGTTAGCTTTCTAATAAATATTTTAAACTATATTTTTTGTTATGGTTCTTTTACGTATTTTCTGCTGGGCATTAATATTTATCTTAAGATTTTATGACTGTTATGGCCGTTTCAAGTGTTATGAAACAAATTAAAATGGTAATTTGAGTTAATAGTTGGCTAATAGTGTTTCGTGTATAGTGTGATGTATAAATGTGGGACTGGGAATCACGCATTATTATTTTAATATTATATTTTGGAAAGTTTATAAATCATGCATTAAATAGAATAGAAGCCTGAACAGAAAGACACGTTTCCTTTTGACCACCTAGTACAGTAAAAACATCAACAGGGATCCTATTAACATAAGGCTGATAATAGAATGCATACTGATTACTGTTTTTCAAGTTAGAGGCTCCTATTAAAGTTATAGGCTCTTAGTTAAGTTAGAGCCACTTCTTAGTGTTTCTTCTTCAAGTTGGGGTCCTTCATGTTACACCCCCTTCTCCAGGCGGCATGTCCCCAATATCTGTTATGTGTTTTGTGACTAAATTAGTCATTTATAATGCATATGTTCTCATATCTCTATTTTAAGATTTCGTTCATTCATGATTTTAGAAAGATAGCAATGACCTGGACGGATGAACATAATGAGGCACTAATTCGTGAAATGTTTTTATTTCAACCTTGGAACTATAAAAAAGGATCGCAGCAACGGGGCCATGCTTGGGAGATGATCGGTGATTCACTAAACAATCTAAATACTCCGAAGTTTAGTGTGACACAAAAATCTGTTCGAGACCACTACACTCTACTCCAGAAACACTAGAAGAGGAGATTGAGGGAAGAGGAAAAAGCTTCCGGAATCTCTCCTGAGCCATCGGAAGTAGAAATCGCCGCAGAAGAGTTAATTGAATTGCTTAGGAGTAGGGATGATGATGATAAAGTAGTGGAAGAGAAACGAAAAGAAATTTATGTTGCAGAAGTAGGAAAGGCTGTAGAAATGAGGCAACTGTCAATGGAAACATTGGCTGAAAGCAGAAAAAGAAAGTCTGAAAGTAAAGATGGTGAGAAACCTAAAAGAAGAGTATCGACCACTGGTAGTGAAACAATTGCCTATTTGCAAAAGAAATCGGACGTAGATATGATACCCAACTTAAGAGGAAGGAATTGAGGTTGAGACAAATTGAAGCTGAAGAAATAAAGCAACAGCAAAATAATATTACTTCACAGCAGGATGTTCTTACTAAAGCCTTGACTGACAGCATTGCTGCACAACAAAGGCAACAAGAACAACTCATGCAACAAATGCAACTTCAAAATACAGCTCTTCTGTCACTGATGCAGAGCATTACTAAGAAGCAGTAAACTATTTTTAACGTTGCGTTTTGTTTCTTTTATAAGATGTTACTCTGGTTACATGTTCACTTGTTATTGTTATTTTATGTAAAACATTATTTCTTGATGTTCCAGGGTCTCTTTTAATACCATAGACTGGAGAGGGAGGGGGGGGGGGAAATCAGGGCTTCAGGTACTTTCTGTCTAAAATATAAGCAAAAAGTGAACGGATAAGTTAGTTAAGAAGAATGTTTTAGTACTCCCATGACCAAATCTTTGTCTAGCGGATGAAATATATAAAAACGGTTTCTAAAAATGCTGAATATATAGTCCCAGACGCTTAAAAATACAAGCATTTTCTGGGAGAGGGCCCCAGACACCCCGTATTCTTGTTCACCACCTCCTAGTTGGGCCAATGTTTTTTGATGGCCCCTCCTCTGACAAATCCTTAAAAGAGGCCCTGTGATGTTGATATTCTGAACAAGAATATGATGTTTAATGAGCATTAGGGTTAACTCTCTTTTAAATGCATTGTTGAAATATAAGCTTATGCAAATTAAGCATTTAACATTTAACATAGTGTGCATGTGGCTAATTAATTTTTACACAAAGTATTCATTTATGGATGAAGGTTCTAGTTTAAAAAATTGTGAGGTTATTGAACCATAAAACAACATCTGGCATTATGAAATAAAGTACACCAAATATACATTTTCCCAACTGCACTTAGGGACCATTCATTATTGATGACCAGGGGTGGGTTGGCAAAAAAGGGGGTGGGTCATGAGGTATTTTTGACAGAAAAAGGGAGGCCACGTAAAGATATTAGTTCAGAAGGGGGGGATCCAGTTATTATATTATAGTGGGGGGAAATTTGGCATGTAACGATTATTGCTCATAGATATCTTATATACACTAGATAGTGCATCTCTTTTAGTAAAATTAAAGCCAAGAATATTCCAGCGGTTACCCCCATTTGAATAGATGGCGGCCATGTTGGTCGTTCCCACTTGCTAATAAACGCTAAAAACAACAATAACTTTCATCATTTGAATAGTTTAAAAACGTATTTGGGGTAGAGTTAACTCAATGTTTAAGTTCCCTGTTTAAGAAATAGAAAACATACCAATCTTCGCATTTCATGGGAACGACCTGCGACTGCAATCACGGCTTCAATTTTTGAATTGCAGAATAATTAGATGCACTATCTGGTGTATATAATATATCTATGTTATTGCTACAACAGAGAGCAAGCAAGGCAGCAAATTTAATTCATGTACCTAGCAAAATTCTCATTTTTAGTCAACACTTATAGGTCGAAAATGCAATGCGCAAATACCCAAAATGCAATGCGTGCAGCTAATATAAAAAAACAATCGAACATCTACCTTATAACTTTTGCCATGAACTTGCCATAAATATTGTCATGTTACCCTGATGTACATTTTAATAAAAAAGGCACTCACAATAACGAGTAAGCATTGTAGTACAGGGCCGTACTACATTATCCATGACAAACTGCAAAGAATGAAGATATTACCCATACTTTCCTGTAACTTATTGAACTTATCCAATGTATAGTTAATTAAATACGCCTTTGCCCATTAGTACTACTCATTTGTAAACAAATTGCAAATCTCGACATACTAAAACGCTGTTTTCTGACCATCAAAATTTTGTAAATCTTTCCCAAAGTCCAGGAAATGGCATTTCAGAGACTCTAAATTTAAAAATTTCCTCCGGCCTTTGGCCCTCGTTTTCAGCCCCCAATAAAAAGAGCTTTCTACAGTACGGCACTGTAGCAACATTACGTCCACAGCAAGTTTGGCGTACACTGTATAAACTACAGGGTGTATAAAAAAAGGAGACCTTTAGAAATCAAGCATATTGTTAAAATTTGAATGCCTTTTCAATTGCACATATGCTGAACCGTGGTGCGTGAAATATTGATGAGTGCATATATTAGGAAAAGGAGACCTTTAGAAATCAACCATTGTTATAATTTGAATCCTGGAGCACTTTGCTAAGCCCACGAGTGCGTAACATGCGATCTACGTACAGTATGCATGGGAGATTGTTCCCAGGAGCAGATAATCTTTTGTTTAAACGTTATTTCAATTTCTCAAGGTCTCCTTTTTCTAATATATGCACCCATCAATATTTCACGCACTACGTTTCAATTGAAAAGGCATTCAAATTTTAACAATATGGTTGACTTCTAAAGGTCTCCTTTTTTTTGATACACCCTGTATATACTAGGTATTTTATACATGGCGAAATATTGAGAGGAGAGGATTAAGTTGCCAAATTATGACCATCTACCTTTTACTTCAAATGTTAGTTCTTTAAGTATAGCTAAAAATATAAAGAATGCACAATTAATGAAAATCTATATGCCTGAATCGTAGATGTTTCGGTTTCTTTATTCGTTTTCCTCGTAACGCTAGAAATCTTGCCAGGGCGTTCTCACGATTACTTTCTGACGAAGCCCTTTTTTGGCCTATTATTCCGAAATTGTGCCTCCAAATAAATACGGAACACAAAATGTATTTTACGATTTAATAGAAATGAACTATAATCACAACTCGCTGTTTTAAATCCCAAGTCACAGTCACAACATTGTTCACTCCCCCCCTATTTTCTCGCACGTGTTCAGCAATCCCCTACTAACTCTAAATGTCCACTGTTATCCTTCAAAATATACTAATGTCTAAAGCAAAATAACGTCAATTTCCAACATCCTCCCCCATGTTTATTTATTTATTTTATTTTTTTATTTATTTATTTAGCTTTGCCAACTAGGGCAGGGTCACCACAACAGCATATGCCAATTACTGTGGGCCCTTTTTACCTAACCCACCCTGTCAACTTTCCCTGTGGGAGGAAACCGGAGTACCCGGGGAAAACCCACAACTTTCGGCAGAGCGTTGACTTTTACTCTTTTCACATGGGGACTGGGTTCGAGTCGCACTGAGAAGGTACTTAGTGAGACTCGAACCTGCAGCCTCAGAGGTGAAAGGCAAGTGCGCTAACCACTTGGCCACCGAAGGAGTCGCATGTTATACCAGAAAACCTCAATGTCTCAATGTTTAATTGTCATTCGTCATTCTCATCCAGTTCAAACAGTTCCTTATTCTTTGCTTCTGCTCTGACCGCTGCTTGTCGTCTTGGCTTGAATTCTTTTGCATTGGTATTCAACTTCGTCGCGCATTTCCCCACGTTGCATTCCAGTTCCAAGGGATAATTCGGATAAATAAGTTGAATAGGTCTTTCTATAGTCGATTTAGCGCATTGAAGCTTAACTCCCCTGACAACGTTATCTTTCCCACGAATTAACTTCGTAACTTTTCCCATTTTCCACTTGTTTCTGTTCTTCTCGTCGGCTTTGATCAACACAATATCTCCTTCATTGGGACCAACTGTAGTTGACTTGCTGTTGGTCTGATGACGCTGCCGTAAACTCGTCAGGTACTCTCTTTGCCATCGTCTCCATAGATGGTTCTTTACGCTTTGCAAGTACGTTGCCCTCTTTCGTAGATCACCGTCCTCAATATGATAACATTCTAGCTCTGGCACAACATTAGACTGTTGTAGCACAAACGAATTTGGTGTAAGAATAGGGAATTAAATGTCATCCTCTAAGTAGCTTAGTGGCAGGTTATTCATACAGATTTCTACATCTAGAACAACTTCCGACAGCTCTTCAAATGTCAAAAGTCCTTTACCTTGTAAAAAGCACATTTGAAAATTCCAACTAATCGTTCAAATTGTCCGGCCCACCAGAGCGCACGTGACAAATTGAATCTCCACTTGATCTCATACTTGCTCAGTTCACTGTGGAATTTCTCATCTTTCATCACCTTGTTTAACCATGACGCAGCCGCTTGGAACGTCTTTGCGTTGTCCGAGTTGATAAGAGAAGGTTGACCTCGTCTGGCGATTAGTCTTTTAAGACTTCGAAGGAAGGGGGTAGTTTCAAGACTCTTCAGAACTTCTAGGTAAACTCCTTGAGTGAAACTACATGTAAATAGGACTAAGTACGCTTTCCCTTCTTGAGTTTTCTTAACTTTATACGTGATTGGGCAGGCGAAATCGACTCCAATAACTTTATAAGGACTAGTCCCTTCCGTTTGCATTGTTGGTAATGGTGCAGGTGCAGGTGTTGGAGCTTGATAAGGTTTGGTCATGAACTTCTTGCATCGTGCGCATCCATTTCGCGACTTTTTTACTAGGCGACGGAGATGAGGTATCAGGTAATTCTCACGAATCTTCGCCATCGTCAAAATAACTCCCCATGGAGCGTCTTTATATGAGCTTCTTCCACAAGTTTCACGGCAAACAACGAGCTATCAGGCAGGTAAATAGGAAGTTGTCCTTGTACTTGTCCTTTGCACTTCAGAATCTCGTCCGCATCGGCTTGTAGGTTTAACTGAACGGAATCATTTTGACATTTTGAATTTTTTTTCGCCTCCGCTTGTACTTGTTTGATCCACCATAGACGTTGTTGGTCAATCTCATCGGTTGTTAATGGACCATGTTGCCTGCTGTCTACGTTCACGCGACTGTTGTCGAGGAATCTCTTTATCCATGCACCAATTCTTAGGGTTTTCGTCAATGAATGCTTCCTTGGAAAGGTGCAATTGGTCTTGGCACAGTCACTTCGCTGGGCAGGTTATCTTCCCATTTTTCCACCGCTTCTTAATCACTCCTTTCAATTCTACATCCCATGGTAGCTTGTGGTCACATACTTCTCGGTAGACTTGTTTTCCTTGCAACAACAGAGGCGAGGCAATTCCTATTGGGTCGTAAATCTTAGCTAACCGACTAAGGAGGCTTCGCTTTGTAGGACTTTCGCTATTCGATCCCAGTTGTACACTTAGTGTATCGTTCTCTTCCTCCCATTTTACACCCAGGATCTTCGTTTCTGTTGGTTTCACACCAAGCTGTTGTTTCGCTGCTGTTTGTTCCTTGCGATCTTCGTTGTTGTCACTTTCTCCGTCTAGTTCGTTCGCATTGGACGCCCCTTTATGAAGCGAAAAGGTTGCATCACTCAGTATATCAGTAGCTTCAGACTTGCGCTGTTTTGCTTCACCAACAGTGTTACCTCCCGAAATAATGTCATCGACATACAGATTTTTCTTCAGCGCGTCCACTGCTCAGGGCCGCCCAGAGGTTGGCGGGGGCCCGGGGCAAATTTTTTTTAGGGGGCCCTATCTAAAAACATTTTTCCGGAAAAATTTTTCCGGAAATTATTATGGCGACC